GCAGTGGCACTGCCGAGCTCGCATGATTGCCGGGGCCAATTTCTACATCGTGGGGCGCGACCCTGCAGGCATGCCTCACCCTGAGACCAAGAAGGACCTCTACGAGCCCACGCAGGGAGGGAAGGTCCTCAGCATGGCGCCGGGCCTGACCTCGGTGGAAATCATCCCCTTCCGGGTGGCTGCTTACAATAAATTGAAAAAGGCAATGGATTTTTATGACCCAAGAAGGTAACACAGGCAGCAGCGTCACCGTTTCTTCAGCCTACACAGCGCATGCGGTTTGCGATCGTGTCTGGCTTGCAGATTGCCAGGGGAGAGGGAAAAGCAGTTGGTGTTCCTCTTGAGGAGAGAAATGGGGGAAGAACCTGTGAAAACCACCCACTGCCCCCTCCAAAAGCTGACACCGTGTCAAGGATAGGTCACATGAAGCTGAAGATGCACCTTTGTAGCCACCAGGGAGGATGAGAAACAGTTTGGGGACTAAGTGGCAGTAGAAATACAGCCTCTCGCAGCTGGAGAAGCATGTTATGTACAGCTCCAGCTCCTCTCGAAAGAGGAACCCCATTGCTACTGACTGTAAACCCAGGCGTGAAGCCGCAGGCGGGTGCCGCTGGTGGGTGCCACTGGTGCCGGGAGGTTTCCAACCACGCGCTTGGGACGGCAGAGCAGCTGTGCTGGGAACGACTCGGGCCGGTTGTGCTGATTTCACCCCTGTCTCTGTTTTGCGCAGGCACGACGATTTCGACTTCATCTCGGGAACACGCATGAGGAAGCTTGCTCGTGAAGGTGAAAACCCACCAGACGGCTTCATGGCCCCCAAAGCTTGGAAAGTCCTAACCGAGTACTACCAGTCGCTGGAAAAAAATAATTAACACTACTCCTCCTCCCTAGAAATACTTGTATTAAGAGTGAGCAATGATTGATTGATTCCCTATGACACAGGTCATTTGCGTGGCATTTCCAATGCTCTGACTGTAGGATTTTCCTACCTGGGTCAGAGAGTATTTTACTAATCAGAAATACTTTGAGCCTGGTCCTTCTCCCCTTGAAGCTGCTGGAAGCGTCCCAGTGGAGCTGGAAGGGAAGGGCAGCGGGCCCTTCATTCCCAGCTGAGCGCGGCTGCAGGAAGCTCAGCACAGCCCCTGGATGGGCCAGCTGCATCATTCTGGTGCCACCAGGGCCATGCACCAGCCCCCAGTGCAGAGCTGGGACCTCAGCACCAGAATAAAAACATGTCTGTCCCCTGCATGGAACAAAAATGAAGTGCCTTTCCGCTACCCCTTGCCCAGCACTGCCCAAAGAGGCAGGAGCAGCTGCTGAAGAGAGGAGCAGTTGCTGCTGCCAGGGTGGGAGGGAGAAACGGGCACTCAGTGCTTGGATCCAGTCACTGCCCTCCAGGTTGTGCCTTTGACAATTTTTGCTAACTAACAGCGGGATTTTTTTTAACGCCCTTTTTTTAAAAGGATTTTTTTTTAATCAGCCTTGACTATCACCAGTTCCTTGTGGCCAAGACAATTGCTCACTGTTCTTCCTTGCTTCCTCCTGCTTGACCTCTCTGGTCAAAACAAAAGCTGGGCTGAGCGTTACTGGTGCTCCGAGTTCAGCTTTCTGTGGGGACTCTGCTGTGGCGATCCCTGAGCTCCCAGCCTGGTGGGCCCATGGGCAGGGGAAGCTGTCCTGGGAGGCACTGTAAAGTCCGGGAGATCTCTGAGAAAGCTCAGGGCAGCAAGCGAAAACTGGCCATGCTGTTTACATGCTTTCGTGGGTATCCTCCCACCTGGTGGGATTGGATCCCCCCTTCCTCTGCCCACGCTCCTCTGAAAGGTGAATTCAAGGCAAAACAGCAAAATCATGGTATGAGGTGGATCTGAGCGGCTGTACCTGGTAAACCAGCTGAGAGATGGCTCAAGCGCTTGCCCTCATCCATACCTGTAGCCCTGCGTGGGTATAGGTGACCGGATTTTACTTTGTACCTGCGGGATGGTGATGCTGGCTCCAGCTGGGGGACAGCCAGAGGATGACGGAAAAGTTCTTGGGTCCCCCCCAGCCATGTGGGGTGCTGCTGTGTGAGGGGCGATGGTGCTGAGCCAAGAGCCGGTGGCTGGTGCTGCTCTCGGCTCTGGCTGGTGGAAAGTTACTGCAGACCTTGCCTTCTTTTTTTTCCTCCCCGAAGTGGACTTTGCTGCTGTGCGTGACGTGAGGCTTTTCTGCTGACTCGCAGCTCTTGTGGTGGCCTCCGACAGGGCCAAGCGGCGTGACCGAACACCGGAGCTTTCCCTGGTCCCATCCACATCTCGCCCCGAGCACGTCCCACCAGGACCAGTGCGTGTCTCGGGGGTGGTCGAGGTTTGAGCGCAACACCCTGTGTGCCTCCTCTGACCGCAGGCAACCGCCTGCCTGCCCCTCAGCATCCTGCCTGCGGTCAGAGGAGGCTTTCCCAAGGAAAGGGCTGATCCTGCGGCCCCACTGTGCTGGTGGCGAGGAGCGTGCAGCCTCCCCGGCCACCACACTGGTGTGAGGTTTTTAGCCGGGGGAAGACAGCTATGCACTTGTTTGTTAGTTATTGCAACAACCTGAATTGATGATTTTTTTTTTGTACTCGTCTTTTTTTAGTAGACGCCCGAGGACCGGTCAGAATGTGTTTCAAATGAAATGGAAATAGTGTTCACCTCTTCCTGTACTTCAGTTTTAATTACAGATGGATCTACGCTCAGTAAAAACAATCGTGCTTCCGCTTGTAACTTAGGATAGTGAGCTACATTTGCAAGCTAAAAACCTGTTTTGCTGTGGCCATGGTACAGGGTCCGACACTACGTATGTGATTGGGAATATTTTTGCAAAAAGGTTTTTTCATTTATCAGCTGTTTTAGGGTTTTTTTTGTATTTTTTTTTTTTAAGTATCCCGAGCAAAGAGCCCAAAGCTGTATTATACCTCAAGAAAAATGCTGCAATGCCCATGGAAGTAGCTGAAAGCACACTAGCACCAGTGCCTTTTACACTCAGGCCCTCTGGCAGGGACCTGGAAGACAAAAGCAATACTCAAATTTTGCAAATTGCAATATTTGTCATTTTTAAGTAGTGAAATAGTACTGTCGCAGCTCCTCTTAAAATAATCAAAAGGTTAGAAAAAACCCCCACAGTAAATCCAAATGGTTACAGCAAAACACAAATGTTGTATTATCCTTTTAAAATAGTGTAGTGTACTGATTACCTCTGATAAACCTAGAGTATGTGGACTAGTTTTTTTTATAATGTATTTATTAAAGACATGAGACTGGAATTTGTACCTCAGCTGATGCATCTCATGATTTAATATATTCTGAACTTGATGCCCTGCTACAAAACACTCACTTTTAGTACAAATAAATATTTATACATGTAACTAACTCTCACTTTGTAATTTTTTGGGGGGGAAATTACAACCACGTGGTTCCTCTGGGGCTGTGACAGGTCTGTAGCAGTGGGAGCCCCTGCCTGGTTCCAGCCTTGCACGCTCAGCGAGCAGCGAGGCTGACCACGGAGCCCATGTCCTTTCAGAAACCTCATCTAGTTTACCTTTTTTTGCTGTCTGTACTATGTAGCATTGAACAAGTCACACTTCAACATTGTGACTGCGCTGTCTGTACACCTTTTAGCTGCTAAAACTGCAGAAATAAGGGATGATGCTGCATCACGCGGTCTCTTCCCCGCAGACCTGCTGGAAAGGGGCTGGGGGTCTCGGAGAGCACCACAGCCTTCCTCGCTTTGGGACTGACAAAGGCAGAGCTTGCAAGCCCTGCCAACCTCTGTTCAACGGAGCTGAAGGCCCTTGGCCACTGGCCCGCGCCTGCCCTAGCTGTGCCCTCTGCTCATCTTGCCGGGGTTCCCGGCGCCCTGCTCGCCCAGAGCCATCCCCCGCAGCACCCTGGGTTTCACCCTTGGCTGCCTAGCTGCCACGTCCCAGGCTTCCCAAGCACCAGGCAGGGAAAAGATACCTTTGCCCAAGCCAGTCTCCAAAAAAAAAAAAAAAAAAAAAAAAAAAAAGCTGTATTTACAGAATTCAAACACGGCCACACTGGCAAAGGTTACAGACAACAAATCAATGAAGACACAGAGCAAACAGACACCACATTTATTTACCTGTTACTTAAGACTTCTCCAAAGATTTCTGTTTGCGCTGCAGTATCAGACTGGCAAGATACAGCCCAGGGACAATTTAGGTACAGTCTGTACTGTACACAATATCTGCTGCTGACCGCTACGGTTGAACAGGTCCTAGGCACGTTATTTGCCTGCTGGGAACATCTACGCCTCTTCCTGCCAGCGGATTCCACCTTTAAACCCCCAAGAAAGACCTGTTTCACATGACGCTTTGCATCACAAGTCGGAGCTCAGTGCTGGAGACTAGATCAGCCTCAGCCCACGCCTGTGAAACAATGCTCGGTTTGGGCAACCGGCCCTCGACCCGCAGGAGAGGGGTTAGGCTTGTCCCTGCGCTAAGGAGCGGCAGGATCAAACGGTGAGGAGCCTGGACCAAGCCCCTGGAGACCGTGGAATGAAAGCGGCCACGTTCCGGCATGACAAACCCTGCCGCCTCCCCACCTTCTGAGCAAGCTGCCAGGAGGACCTGCGCTTTGACAGACTCCAAAAGCAGCAGCAGGAGCGGGCAAGTCTGGAAAATTCCTTGGAAAAGTGGAAATCGCACTCCAGCTGTGGGAACTGTCCTCAGGGGCAATTACAAATAACCTCTTGCACCTCTGCGAATCAGTCCCTGGAACCTGCAGCAATGCATTACAGGCATGAGGTAAAGGCAAGATCCAGCCAGCATGCAAACAGCCAGGTTGGTGGAGAAACACCCAAACCGGAGCGACTAGAGGATGCCCCCGGCATCTGCAAACAGTGAAGGGTTTGTTCCTATTCCTGTATGCTCAGTTTGACATTTAAATTTGCTTGAGAACACACTTTGCACTCACTCTATTAAAGCCAATTGCTAAGATGGCATTCTTCGGCTGCCCGCACCAGCCTGGCCTTTCTCAGGTGTAACAGCTACCGCGAGGGGCTGGGAGAACGTCGGAGTCAGAGCAGGCACTGAAAACAAACTGAATAGCTGGAGACCCGCATCAGGCACACACATAATTCAAACCTCCTGAGAAACCAGCTTCCACTAAAAGTAGCACGATTTGCATGTTTAATTTTAAGGCTAGTGCTTGAACTCGGGCTCTTCGAGAGCTAGCGCTGGCTTACATCACTTCCTAATGTGACTAGTGGGATTAGCATTCCACACACCCTAGACTTTTTAGATTTCCACAGCCCAGTATTTCTGGCATGCCTAATGTCCTACATCCTCGTGCGAGAGCAACGTGCATTTACCATAGACCTTTTACCCCCATATAAAAAAGCAAGGCAATTATTAAATTATTAAAAAAACCTCCCCATGTTTGGTACCCAAGGAGATTAAATCAGGTCAAACCCAGCTGCTGCATTACACAACCAGCATGCCAGACAAAGGGACAGCAATGAGAAAGCTGCACTTCACAGAAACTGGCACCAGCACCTGATACTCTCCGATGGCCACCTCCAGCAGTCTTTGGTTCACTTTGCAGTGCATTTCATTTTACATCGTTATCTCGTTTTCAGTGCTTACCTTCCCTCGATAGCTAGCAGAGCTGTGACACAGCATACCACCCCAGGGGTTTGAACAATTCCGATTATGTATTTGTGTTTAATTAGTGCACAATTTGTAATATTGTAAGAAGAAAAATCAAGTTCTTGAAAACCTACTGACAATAACTTTACCAAAACACTGTTGCCACTTACATTTTTTAACCCTTTGCCTTTATCACCACGTAACATGAATTTACTAAAACTGTTACCAGCAAGTACAGCAGAACATTACCAAGTCACATTTATAAACCGAAACCCCATTCTCTTCTCTTCAATTTCGCAGATCAGAGCACGTGACAGAGCAAAACATCACAAAATGACCCCCCTCACCCCACGCCTCAGAGCTATGCGCAAGACACTTCATGGTACAATGCCACGGTGCAGAAGTGGGTCTTCAGAGGAGGTTAAATAGCAGCAAGCCCTCGTTACAATGCATAATAGATCAGAAAGCCACAATTTCAGAGAGCTTATAATATGTGGGGCTTTATGAAAGACCAGTTAAGATTCTGCTCTAATTACTCACATCAAGGGAAAAATAAAAATAAAACCAGCATTTGTTTAAAAAGCCTCAAAAAGCAGAATCCATACAAAATGAAAAGTATTCAAACATTTTTACAGCAGTTTACTATCTTTACTAAATGGCACCAGATTTCAAGTGGTCATGTGAAAGAAAAGTCAGTAACGTTTCAAATTTTGCCTGAAAGTTATTCTAGAAGCAGAATTTCTATCTTCGTATTTGCTGCTAAAAGGAAGAAGTAAGTGTGAATTGAGTATCGACGAATCTTTAATCTATACATCTTCTGATTTGGTTTGATTCAGTAAGTAGAAAAGATTTTCCATACTCAAGTTATCTACAGATTATGTCTATATATAAAAAAAATGGTGTGGATATATACATTTAATACATACACACACGCTCGTACGTATATACACAAACTGGTAATGGATCGTCTTCCCTCCACACCGGTGACCCGCTGAACCCACGCACCATGTCAGAACCTGCTTTAAGGCTACACAGTGTATCGAGTATGGGACAAAACACAGGCAGTTGCTCTTGGTCTGGGCTATAATTGTTCCACTTCATGATCTATTGTTACACTTCTAGTTGCGCATGACGGAATTTCAATAACTTAGAATTTGTTGTATAAAAACAATTCCAGAAACAGAACTCCCTTATTCGAGGAACATCCCCGCTCCCACCCCCTGACATTGTTTTTGCTAACTGATTACAGAAGTCAAACTAAATCACATCAGAAACTGCAAACACACTCTTTTGTCTTAATCTAAACTAACATGCATCAAAACATTCTGCAGTGTGGCATCCTTTGATTTTCTCATCTTCTCAATCGCCCTGTGGAGATCCTGTTGCTGCACAGGCCGAATTTCATCTTCGTCATGGCTTTAAAAGAAAGAGAGAAAGAAAAAAAGCAAGATAATGATTCAGGTGCTGTGTAATAGCTATTCAAAGAATGAGAAGCAATCACTGACAATAGCAGCTCTGACATGGATCCAGCATTACACTGGAAACACGCGCCTGTCTGTGCACATATTACCAGCAAGTATGGGACATCATCAGAGGAACATAACAGCAAGTGGAGTTACGTGCATGCAAGAGTGTTACCACCATGTAAGCCTGGTAAATACAGTGTAGTAATACTACTTGCTGGCACAGGCCACCTCAAGCTTGACACCTTGGAACAAACAGTCTTATTTTCATAGTCAAAATGAATAAAGGTAACTTACTTGTTTGGGTATTTTTGTTGTATAGTGGCAACTTGTCAACAAAAAGAGAACCTCCTGCTTTCTGTTAGTCACAGCAAGGTTTTTTAAACCTCTATAAATTCACAATTCAAATCAGAAAATTCAAACTAATAATTGGGACAGTGTGTAGCACCAGGAGCATTCACAGTTGCTGTTCAGCTATCGTAACAGACAGAATAAAGACACATACGTCTCCTCTTCACAGGCAGAATTAACATATTCCCTGACACAGAGGAGTGCTGCATCCCGGCACATTTCTTTCAGATCACTGCCCGAGAAGCCATTGGTCTCTTTAGCAACTTCTAGGAGATCTACATGCCTGTCCACCTGTCAAAAAAAAAAAAAAAAAAAGGGTCAGAGCATGAAAACTCTGAATTTATTTACTTTGTTCACCAAGGACAAGAAACAGTCACCTCCAAGTATTTTTACCTGCCCTAAGAAGATTTTTTTCAGCCTTGACTTCTTTTGAGAACTAAAAGAAAATTATTAACTTACACTTTGAACCCTCCAAGTAGTTCATTTAATTAAATACAACTGATGCTTCATCTCATAAAACTCTGTAGCTGATTAAGAAAAAAGAACAGGCAACCGAAAGCGCACCATCATATCGGTATATTCTGTTACTGATGAAGCTCCTGCACCATTTTGGAAGCCTACTGGATGGCAAAAACTGGATCACAGAAATAATGACCAGTTTTCCCAAATGCCCAAACAGGTTTCCTGCAAGAACACTGTGTTTTTTGGTAAAAGGCTAGACCAGACCCTACGTGCTATCTTATCTATAGACAATGAACACTAACCAGTGGGTCTCATTTCACAGCCACAGCACTTTTTTGACATTATTTGAAAGAGTGCATTTTGTTTTCATGAATATCTCTTTTGACCAGCAACACAGCAAGGCCGGAAAAAGTTCCTGTCACATTTATGTTTTGTTGTTGCCACCTTTCAGTGCAGAATAAGAAGTTGAAAAGAAGTCGTTCACTATCGCAGCAACTCAGTTGTCTGTGGAGTTACTGAACAACTGCTCCTACTTTATACAACCACAAAATGGGGAACTTGGAAGCAAAATAAAATGTCTAACTCCGTGCACTGGATCAGACTGAACTCTATCCAGCCGAGACCCCACATTTTTTCAGTCTGTTTACAGAATCTCTGATAATAGCCCCTTTCAGCATATTTTCCAATGCATCAGTATTTCCTTTTCAAAAAGTTACAGCCAAATTAGTCTAGTAAAATGCTGGAATTATGGGATGATTTCTTCTAAGAGGGAAACTATTCCGTGGTGATGAAGGCAAAGCCCCAAGTGTAATCTTTGCTGCTTCCTGCTACCCCGTCAACCTGTGCACTCCCCAGGATAACCCAAGAATGCACCGACATCCACTGAGCACCCTTCCAATTTCCACTATTCCTCCCACTTTTCTTGAAGGACAAGGGCTACAGATACTGTCCTGTTGGCTTGTCTCTTGCGCTTGTACTTGAGCCCCAGGTCCCTGACCTATGACTCAGCATGCAGTGCTCTGGTTTGGGTCTGGAGCGAGCCATCTGGCTCCCCAGGAACAGAAATTAAGGCAAAAGTAGCTGCTGACTTACACCAAAGCGCCTCCTATAGACACTACAGCCTGGCTGTCTTGAAGTGCTTTGCTTTAAAGCATCATCCTGCACAGAAATACCAAAGCCAGTAGCAGTCAGCTGTGGATCTGCAATGTGTTTGCTCAATGTGGGGCTGAAGGCCATCAAGAACTGAATGGAGCAGCACAGCTGAACAAATAGAAAATGAGCATGTTGTATAGCAGGCATTAACAAGGATTTCCCTTCAAGTGAGAAATAAGAAATAAGATTTTAAGACAGGCAGGGAAAACAGAGGGCATGACTACACCTGTCATGTGAAGGACTGCAAGGAAGTTTGTCACCCTGGCTGGAAACAAGCTGGGCTTGAGAGATCCAATTCCTCCTCCTACAGGATAACCAATACAGGCTGATTCCCCACCACCCCACGCCCCCCGAAAAATGTTATTTATGTGGCTGTGATTCACTGCCAGATGCTTGATATACCTTGTGTTCTTTCAGGTCCATAATCAGGAGCCAATTTATGTTTCTGCTGAAGGCCTTAAGGCCAAGGTGCTGCAACTCCCAGGCCCAGGTGCCGAGGCAAAGGAGACAGAGTCCACCTGCATGTGAGGGCTGGGTGGCTGCAGATATTCAGGGAGCCTGGATAAAGGTCTATTATTTGGCACATCTCCCTAACAGCTCTTGAAAAGAAATCTGAAAGTCTGAAGTCTGAAATCACCACTTGCAAGAGACGTTTTAGTTTGTTTGAGATTTTCTGCAAATAGGTCAGCTCTTCCTCCACAGCTCCTTTGGCATTTCATATCAATTCTGTTTTCACACCTACGTCTAGTACTTTGCAAAAAAGCCAACCTATATCCTAATCCTATATAAACAATCCAAAATGACCATTTGCAAAGTATCCTCCCCAATATCTCAGCCATTTGCAGTGATGAGCTGTGATTTTTAGGCCTCTTAAAAAATGTAAGCTGGTTTTACTAACAAATGATATTTATTAGGATAGACCTCAAATCAAGAGACACTTTGCAATATTAACATCAAGACAAATTAGTGCTGCAGACTACATTTGGCAGGAACCTCTGATAACACAGGTCCCATATCCTGCTAACAGACATGGTACCAGATGTGCTCACAGCTACTCCTTCCCCTCATCTTGGAATGCAGATGGTGGCACAAACACCATACAATATTAGGAACAATATCTATAGTAGCTTTCCTCTAAAGGAAATACGAAATAGGGATCAAAGTGCAAAAAGCAGCACTGTCAAAAAATGTCATTCCTCGTTTCTTGGCTTGAGCCAACAGACTGTACAGAGTTAAAAAAAAAATCAGTATCTCTTCTCCCTGCTTCATGATGTCTTGAAATTTTTTTCACTGATCAAAGTGATTTCCAAATATGATTCACCTTCAGCATCTTTAGAGATAAATATATTATCTTGTTATATAACAAGAAAATGGAGACAAAGAAATTAAGTAATTTTCCTCAGAGGTGGTGATTCACCACAAAAGCCAAGACTGCTGCCCTGACTGAGGCTCATGCTTAAAGCAGTAGGCAACTCTACTGCTTTAATTTAACGCCACACCTAAAAGCACGGAAGATTCCTAAGTTATAATCAGAAACACCCTGGTAGATAATCTCTACCTTACTCCAAGACAGTCAATTATAAAACATGTTTTCTACAACTCCAGAGCTTGCACTCATGACAACAGTAATAGAGCAAATTAACCATTAAAATAAGTCTACTTACATTTTCATTTTTCAAAATTAGCTTCAGGATTGCTTCTCGTTGTTTCAGAGCCTTAAACAAAAGAGTTTAAAGTTACTAGAGTACAAAAATAAACATATGTAACACCTATCTCAATTTTGCACAGCGTGGGCTTTCAGTCACAATTCAGTGACACAAGCTGATCCCTCAGACATGAGGTGTGATACGTGCTAAGGAAACCTATCTGACGGCAAATCACTCAGCAAAATGAGATCTAGGGTACTCTGACTACAGGAGCACATGAAACTAAACATTTGAGCATATACATTTACACTAACTACAGGGAAAAGGAAAATGCACTGACATTTAGTCTTACTTTGCCCTAAGTGAAAGCAGCTGTCTCCAAAGATTTCCCACCATCTTTAACGGAGGGCAGACTCTCTAGATCTAAGGGATGCTTTCAACACTTTGCTAAATCAGATGAAGAGGATAAACTGTTCTGCTTAAAAAAAAATAAAAAAAATTTAATTCTACAGATGATGCTTGGGAAATGTTAAGCAATATAACATACTGTGATGAGGTTACTGAAAGAAACAGTTAAGTAGTGAGCATATCCTTAATAGCATGGTAAAACACAGGCAGCAGAGACTCTTTTTTGTGTCTCTCAAAACCAAATTTGTCCTAAATTCACTTTCATTGTTAAAAAGGGAAAAAGCTACCCCATAGATACTCTGAACAGTTCATACTCTGTCTCAAAAAATACTTCTTCCATTTCCCCCTGCCTTGCAGATAATTTCTTATGAGTAATTTTGGGCACCCTAATCTCAAACTTCGTTATAAAACCTGCAAGGCTTTAGCTACTCTACAGCAATACTACCTGTGCACACTTCCAACCCACAGCACACAAAAATTATCTTGGCCCTCAATAAAAGAGTTGTAGCCAATCTTGGTTGCATCACAAAGTACCGCAGACAAGAACAAGAGACAAGCAGTAAGTTGATGATATGGCTGTAGCAGGATAAGGAAAATTATGTGTCTGTGCCCTAAACAACACCTCCTGTTGTAATTCTGATCCTGGGAGAGGGAGCCAACCCCTGTAATATCCTGAGGCACTGTTACCTGTGGATAATTCACCCTTCTAACAACAGTTCTTGATAGAAAGACATGATAAAGTACTAAAATACACACCCTTGCCCCTTACTAATTCAAGGAAAACTTGAAGATGAGTAAGGTGTATGAAACCCTATGAGCAGGCATTGCAGAAAAGCAGTTACTAGGTTATAAATGCTTTGTTTCAAAAAGTATCCGCCCACAAGGAGTGAAAGCCAGTTCAAACACGATGGGTCTGGGAACATAACTACTCTCTTGCACAATAATAGGAGTTTTACTCCTCCAGTTCTGTCTGTAAGTTTCTGCAAAAAATGAATAATGAAGGGTATTTCTGTAGCCAGAAGGGAATACTGACAACCACAACTGAACTCTTTATAATATTGATACAAAAATGTCTTGTGATATCACTAAGTGTTCAGACGTGACTAAAATGCCTTTAAAAAGATGGCAATGGCAAAATGTATAGGAAGGGTAACCTTGTGATGGCTAGCATAACTGATAAAGACCAAACTCTGCATGTTTGGCATAAATCTTAAGTGGAATAAAAACAGTTTTCCAGATTGCTTGCAGCGCCTGACTGTGGAAAGGCTTGAGAAGAATGTAGGCTTTGGTATGCAGATCTCATTGCCCCTTCTCTCCTTGAAAACAAAATACTATGTATCGAGACCTGCTTCTTGATACCATCTGACCTGTGTGCCACTCTCCCCGTAGGCAAGCGTGTGCAGTTGCTTCTGTGCTTTTTGTGATTGTTTTCAAGTTAAAACTAAGCTCTTTCCAGAGCATAGTGTCTAAGCCACTCCACTCTTACAGATGAAGAAAATGGGTGGGAAGCTCTCAGAGCACATGGAGTTGTTTCAGATAAAAGACCCAAAGAATCAAGATTTCTGTGAGCAACTTCACCTTAAAAAGCAAAGTTCTATATGTGCTTCTAAAAAAATAAACCCAAATCAAAATAATACAGTATTTCTTTGGAAAAAAAACCAAAACAAAAACCAAAACCAAACCCTGAAACGTACATTTCTTGGCTGATAAGGCACCTGCCTGCAGTTCAGCCACTAGGCACACTGTTCAGGCAAACCTGGCGCAACTTACAGGTTGGTTGATGTGAAACCGGGTCGGCATTCTTCTCATGATTGCAGAGTCAAGATCCTGAGGACGGTTGGTGGCTCCCATCACTATTACCTGTATACACCAACAGAAAAAACTAGTCAGCCTGAAACCAGCTTTTGAAAACATCGCTGTATTGGAGTTTCAAAACCAAACATGTGATTCTTCCACACTTATCAAGAACATCAACATTCAAAGAAGTTACATAAGGTTTCTTGGTACCCATTTCAGCAACTGGATTTAAACAGGCAGCTTAAGAGAGCATTGGTGCCACAGATTACCAGCTGGGTGGAGATTTTTACATTAGTCTGAAGCCTTCTGAGCCCAATTTGAAAGTTCAAACTCTAAGCAGTAACCCAAAACTTCTGCTTATAAGTCTCAGCGATGTCTCTTTAGTTCCTAGTGGTCTGGAAGGAACTTGAAAGGAGACGTTTTGATAAGGTATTACGAAATGTGGCAGTTCTGTGCCATGTTGAAAAAAGAAAGGCAATCAGTTCACCAGGACAACCAAATTGGCAGCTTTTGCATGCACTAAAATGTTGCTGCTTTTTTTTAAGCATTAAAAAAAAAAAGCATTAAAAGTCAGTAGGAACCTATACGCACTGGTATACTGTAACAGCAGCGCATTAGACGTGTACAAGCCAAGTTCAATACAAGGAGAGTATCTACCTCATTTGACTGCATTCCAGTTATTAGTTTAAGAACAAATTTACTTCCCATTCACATCAGCCTTGTTTTCTCATTTGTTATTTTAAGTTATGTACATTGTAAATACCCAGTCACAAAAGTGGAAAAATGTCAGGGAAATTAATCTCATATCAATAAGGTTTCCTGACATGCTTCTGGTCTTTTGGCTGGGGTCACTGCTCTGCAGCAGCCCCTGGCCAGGCTGGGTTACATGTCCCGGAGCAGAGTCACCCTGCCACCTAGAGGCTTAATTACACGGTGGCAAATTGCTACGCCCAGAAAAAGCAAAAAAGGTGCATTTTTAGCCAGGGCTCGGGCAGTCTTCACTTTCTAGAAAGCATTACGCATGCAAGCGCTCTGCACTTGCCTGCGTGCCAAACACAAGCTAATGTTTGGCTGAGCTGCCTCTTGCAAAGAGGCATCACCATACCCATGCTGTACTTCCCCAGGATCTGCATCAAGGCCCAACGTTGGACCCAAAGCGTTGCCCCTCTGTGTCCCTGGAGCCGAGAAGCCTTCCTAAAACTGGCTCTGTCTGCAGGTTCTGTGAACGTGGGACCCCCAGAGGGCACAAATGCGGCTGTATGGGGCTTCCAGACTTAAACTGTCCCTTCAAGCAGCACAGCTCTGTTTTCCAGGCACTGTGCCCCAAGTTCCTGCCAGACTCAAGACTGTATCCTTGGCAGGTTTAGTCCAAAGCTGAACATGCTTTTCAGGTGCAGTCAACACGGGAACAAATAACATTCATCACAACACTTACTTACAATTTCCTCCTAGCATTTGGAATTTTTGTTACCGTAACAAAAGCCAAATTTAATCCTTATTCAAAGGAAATTTGTTTGGCAAGAATCAGACAAGCAACGCAAAGCTCCCAAGTAAACATTTGTAATTAACGAAAGAGCCCAGCGAGCTGGCTGTCAAAAACTGAGACAATGCAAATGTCAAGACCATTGCTTAAAGAAGACTTCCTGAATTGCAATGACATCCCAGGGAGGAGCCTGAAGTATGGTATTGAAACGAAACACTCCTGCTGAAAAACTCCCCAGAAACGTGAATCAACCCCTGCAGTGTCCCCAGCCAATTGTTTGCATTGCATTTTACTTCAGTGGCCCCCTACCCTGCAGAGGCGTACGAGTAAAGGACAGGAGTGACGTGTTCAGGCACTGCATGCTGAACGTAAGAGATGGGTAAGAGCGTTGTCTTACTGCAGAGAATGAACAATTTGAATTGCTCCAAGAAGTTGTCAGTATATTGGGAAAAAAAGATAATACATTCAAACACCAGAAGAAATGTGTTCTTGCAAGATCACATTAGCTTCCAGTTAAAGTGTTCATACCATTGGCCTCTTATTAATGGTAAGCAAACACTCTGCTTTAAAGCTCCTCAGTACATATATTCACTGTGTTCTAATCAGGTTTTAAAAATATCAACCGAAAAAAATCTTAAACACAAGCTTGAGAGAGGAGGAAAAGCAGATTTTACAAAGAGTTAATGGAGGTCAGAGCATTGGAACTCATTCATAAAAATACAACAGATTAAAAAGGCTGAAAATTTTTAAATTGAAGAAAAAACCATCCTTTTCAAAGGCCTTAAAAAGATTCTTCCAGGTGAAAGTTCAGAAACACACCAAGCAGGCTTTTGTCTATGCTACATTCAAGTCATTTATTTCATAAATATTTGTGTGTGTTTGTTTTTACAGCACCAGCAGCTTTTTTATTTTTTTTTCCTCTCCAAAATACAATATTTCTGTTGAGATTATGGGAGGGGGACAGAAGCTTACAGGAATAATGGGATGAAAGCACGGCTCCATTTAACAGAATTTGTCTTTTGATAGCATCAACTTCTCTACCCTTTCAGATTAACTCCAGAGTCTAGTGTTTGTTTTACGCTAGTCCAATGCTTTTCTGGAAACAAGCCAACCAACCTGCAACTGGGATGGATACTCAGATCTTTCAATACCTTTCCTGAAATCAGAGATTCACTTAATCTGAAGAAAACACTGCTGACAAAACATTTTTCAAAACAGTTTAAAAATTCCCAATTTTGGTGGCTCAAACTATACAGCTATATTACTGAGACTTAAGACGTTTCTGAAAATAAGACCTCTTAGCTAAAACCAAAATACTTACAAAAACAGTCTTCTCAAGAATGATCTATTATTGTAAGTCATCCCATTCCCATAATATACTGGTAATCACTGACAGGTAAAGAAATTCTTTTGGCAAGTATTACTACATGCAATCTGCTACTCTTCCCAAATGGCTTCCCACCGAGGGAAGAATCTCATTACTTTTCTTGTCATCCTTTGTACTTACTTGGCAGTTATAATCAGTGTCCAGTCCATCCCACAGACTCATGAACTGAGCTTTCATCATAGCTGTAGCTTCATGGTCAGAACTCGATCGACTTCGTAAGAAGGAATCTGTATTAAGGGATTCATTATAGCAGTTTACTTTCAAGCCTGCCATAGAAACTATGCTGTTTGATTCCTCACGTGCAGACTTGGGCTATTCTCTATCTTGAAAATCTTTATTAAAAAAAGTATTTACAACAGATGAAAAGTATTTCTTACAATAAAGAACAGGAAAGCAGAATCTCACCATACTTTTAAGCACATCTTTTATATTACATTACATGAATATGTACCTATCACATGAGACTGTCCCAAATCTTGTGCTCCAATTTTTCACTTTCCTGAATTCACTGAAAGTGTAACTTTCACCTTAATTTCTCATGCAGAGATGGAAGCATTCAGAGTCTGGCAAGCTAGAAGACACCAAAGCACAGGATAACAGCAAGCTGCAGGACTAACGTAAAGTAGGCTATACACTTCATTATGCAGACCTCTAACTCTGCTAGTGGTTGCCTAAAGAATTTCCAACATCTAGAAAAACACCACATTTTTTGCACCTATACAAAAGGATAAAAAGCATCTTGAGTACGTAGCCCATTCATAAACCTAGACTGTGGAAAGAGCAAAAGCTTTGTCAGCTCTGTTTCTGCAAAACATACAACTCACTCTAAGAAGCACCAGTGCTACAAGACAACAAGCAAGTTTAAACTGACCTGCTCAAGTTCACAGGGACTTAGACGCTAATGTGACAAGTCCAAATGCACGGAACAACTGGCACCTTTGCTGTCTTCCTAGCTGAACCTCCCCTCCTACTTCTTCAGCCTTATTAAACTATTATTCCTGAGCTCTCCTAAACCCATATTTTCTTTTCCATTATGCACCCTCACAGCAGAAGCGTTGAAGTGTATTTGGTGATGGGTTTCCTGAATAAGGAGTTCCCTTGACAGAAGAAAAGCTTTCCTTATGGACCACCTTAGTCCAACCAAAAATAAGCAGCAACTTGTTCTACTTGTAATTTCCTCCACTAACACGAGGAAGAAATACACTGGTTTTCCTAGTTTGCCACCATTACTTTACAATACTATTTATATGGCGAAACCTTGTTCCATTATCACTCTTTTTAAAGAAAAGATGACAGTAGATCAATATACCCATCAACTTGGACCTACAGTTTAATGTCACTCTGCTATAGTTACTTACAAAAAAAGACAGATTTTTACCTATTTCATCAATAAAAATGATGGACGGTTGGAGCTTTATAGCAAGGGAGAAGACAGCAGCAGCCAGTTTTTGAGACTCTCCATACCATTTGTCCGTCAGTGTTGAAGGCTGGAGATTGATAAATCGACAACCTGCTTCCTTTGCTGTAGCTTTGGCGATCAGCGTTTTGCCACAACCAGGAGGACCATAGAGAAGTACTCCTGCAAAAGTAATGGTGTTAATGCTCTCCGATCACTGTACAGAAAACATGCTTTGGTATGGCAGACCTGATAGTGTCCAGGCATGTATTTTATCCAAGTTTTAAAAGATAAGAAACCAAGTTACACAGTGTTCCATCAAATCAAATACAGAGTTATTCAAGATATCCTTATTATAAAGTTAAAGCTAAGAATATCTAAAACCAGGTATGGTGAAATTGAAGGGAGACATTTGTCTGAAAGATTACTTCTATTACTGTGACTATAAAGTTTACATAAAACTAACCCCCTTCTTATTTCCTGTAAGCATTTGACAGGCCTTGTTTATAGCCAGTTTCAGCCTTGCTATTAAAACTTAGCACAGATTGGGTAGAGGAAAAAAAAAAAAAAAAAAAAAGGAGCCCACAAACATTTTAAACAAATTACTCCCAATTAAATATGACATTTCATATTATTTTTAAACTTGTCATAGTAAAAGAATTCACAGTAGTGTTTTTCTAACATAGTTGTAAAGAAAACAATTTAAAGAAAAAAATTAAGTCAAACAAGCCTGAAACACAGAGAATTACTAGGGTTTTTTTTCTGTTTATGTCACTGACAACCACAAACATAACTACTCGGAAGCAATGACTTCCTATTAACACATGGTGCAAGCCACTAATAAAACTGGGGAGCTTGCCCTATATGGAAAGTCCACTTTCAAAAGATAAATAAAAAATAAATTTTTCCTTCAGCTTATTAGATCATGACATTAAAGTAATTTTCCAGACAGTTTCAATTTGTAACTTAAACAGAAAGTAGCCTGGAAAAACTAGACCAGTTACAAAAGTGCTTCATTTTCCATCACTTAGGACACAAAACTGAGATGGTCACAGATACAGGCAGTAATTAATAATTTTCAGAGAACTTTCAGAAGACAATATTCCAGGGATCAGAGCAGTAAAGATAAACTTTGGCATTTTGTCCAACATTTTAGGTTCAAATTCTGCTTGTCTGCAGTAACATACAGCAAATATGGCTGTAAGCACTCCAGCAGAGAGAGTCCAACTTCTGCTTTACTGTTGGAAAGTTAATTTGTCACCCACCGGTTTCCTTACTGCCTCAACACTGTGCAATTCGACTCCAGAGAAAATCAAGAGATCTCCAGAATAAAAATGGGATCTCTGTCTTTTTGAATCACCGGAATTTCTAGGACTAGAACACAGAGATGACTGCAAGATTAGCTTACGTTGACGTCTCATGTTTATGACTTATGTTTCTGTGACACCGTAGAAATATTAACCAAGGTTGCATACAAAGCTGTACAGCAGAGTTATAGTTCACCTCTGCCAAAGGACAAGATGGGGTATAAAAAGAAAAAAAATTGACAGTGTAGGCAGTTAAAAATGCAAGTTACATAGATCAGTGCACTAAAATGCAACATCAATAACTGAAAAGCAATTATTGCTTCATTATTAAGATGAAACTTATTCACTAGAACTTGATTTCACGGCAAGAGAAGATAAAAAAACTGAGGGTTTTCCCTGGCATCAGTCCTAATGGTTGCACTTCGGACTGCCAACCCACTTCCTCTTTCCTTTTTTGGTAATGAGAGTTTTTTTTTTTTTTTTTTTTTTTTTTTTTAATACCAACATATAAATCTGTAACATTTCCTTCCTACCTTTTGGTGGCTGTAAGAGCCTGGAATTCTCAAACAAGTATTTCTTCTTGATGGGCAAAATGACAGTATCTTTCAAATCTGTAATAACATCATCTAAGCCTGCAATATCACTCCAGGTTACCTAATAAAGAAAAAACATTATTAGAAATGATCACCATAGTCCCTGCCAACAAAAAATATCCACAAGCTTAAAAGTAGTGTAAGACCTTAAAAATAAAAAAGACAAGTGATTAAAAAAAACTCTGCTCTCAATGATGCAATTCTAGTTTTAAATTACAGAAATATTTTCTATGTATTTCCACAGATACATATATATGACAAATAATGTAATCCAAAGCCAAAATCAAGATCTTCCATGTCTGAAGTGCTTTCAGAGTAATGTGGAAAACAGTTTCTTACATGCATGCTAAGTGGGTCTACAAGATGTGCAGCAATACTCATTTCGTATTCAGTAAGCTTGACATTTTTCACTCCAATTTGCTTCATTAGTTTTTCAGCCTGGGGGAAATAAAATGCCAAGAAAATCAGAGAAAGAAATTGAATGCTTAAGTCAAAAATTAGTTTTTCAAGAACTGCTCTTTGGAGTCTGAAAAGCTGCTCCAGAAGTCACATGTGAAAAGAAGTTAAATCTTTCTGAAGTAGAAGGTTCTGCTGTTTCCTAATGACTTGTTGTCACTTGAACGAAACTAAGTCATATGTCTCAGTTCCCAACAAATAAGCGTCACACCAGTCCTCCCACCCCCAAATCCACGGGTCATACATCATGACCTGAAAAGCAACCAAAATGAACATTAAAACATGGAGTTTGCTGTTCAGTACAGGTTTGCAGACACACAGGTAACCTCTGCACAAAATCATTTCAATAATGTCTACGGGAGTTTTCTAAACTAAGACAGGTATGTTACACTTAAAAACTTTCAGATGAAAATCCCGAAACTTGTTATTAACTAGAACTCTAGAGTTCTTTCACGTGCTTAATTATCTTCACTCACAACCCTGCAAATAATACACGTGGACTTTAATGGGAGATATAATTGTGTTATTATAAAAAGCATGCCCCCCCCAACCTCCACAGCACTGTATCAAGGAGAGATTAATATATTTGTAAGAAAAAAAAAAAAAAAGATAATTCACAGAAGTCAGTTGATTTTTTCTATGTATTCAATGTTTTCTTTTTTCCAATTTAAAAGGAAAAGTCATTTGTTGTGTCAACACGCTTTCACAATTCAGCTTCTCTTTATACTCAAACTTGCGGTTAAGTCTGACATGCTTTTGGGATATTGCAACCTCTTATATAATAGCTGGCACTAGCACAGATTGTGAAAGCTGATTTTTAAAGGGGAGCCAATTTTTTAACTTAAGATTTCATTAAAAAAGAAAACCCACCCAAAACAGAATTAGGTTGCTCAAAACTGTTGTTTGAATCCATGAAATTTGCATCAGCCAGAAAACAAAAAAAAGTTGCAACATTTCCTTCAATACTTTCCAAAGGAAACATTTAACACTTGGTTCTGAAACGTACCTAAATCTTTTCCCAGAGCATTAACCCCCATAATCATTCTAGTTCAACTTAAGCAATAAGGCTTTTCACTTTTTCTTCTCCCCTTTTGAGGGCATTTTGACTGCTGCTGGAGGTGGGGAAGGGAACACAGGGAGAGGGACAAAGTGCAAGCAGTCCCTGCCTCTGCCACCAAGTTGCCAAAAAGCAGCAGAGAATTACGTTATTTCTGCTCAAGGTATGAAAAAAGCAACCAAGAGACTGAAGAGAGCATTATTAATGCGACTGCTGCTTAGCAAAGTTGTCAGAAGCAGAAACGGCACCGGGACCACATACTTGCAGGTAATTAGAGACAACATCGCGCTCCAATTCAACAGTTTTTCCACCACTTCAAGGTAGAGATTTTAACTTGTTATAAAATGTAAGCACTGAAAACACTAACAGCCTAGATCCTGAGATTTACTAAAAAATAATTCTAGGTTTTTTGATTATTCCACATGCTTTTGTCGATTCTTTTGTTGGTTATTGCAAGTCCAGTTTTCAATTAGCAGACTTCTCCGTATGAACAGTAATGAACCAGACAGCATTTCACAGAAATATTTATGAATAAAATCCTACCTGTTTCTGAGCTTCTACTTTTTGCTTTCTGGTCGGATCAATGGCATCAACCATCCATTTAATGGTAAAATATGTTACAGCACCAAATATGGTTAAACGAAAAATTAATCCGACCACTTCATTCCGGCTCAGGGGACGTGAAAATGCTTCAGCATGGACCATTTTGCCGTTCAACACTAAGTGTAAAAAAGTGCAGGGAGGAACAGAAAGAAAGAAAATGAAAGCTGAAAATATATCTGCCTTGTATTTAAGCACCATTTTATAAAAACTATTTCCCATGCACACTGTGGGCATAAAGCTTACCATGAAGTTATAATGAAATATCTCAACAATAGCACAACCCCAACACATAAAAGCACATAAGATTGAAAAGCACAGCGCCGAGTATAACAACAGTTTCATTTTCAGTTTCAGTAAACAGAGAAAAAACAGCAGCAACAACTTGAGGCCTTCCTTCTTGATTGACTGCATGCAAGAAGGTCCTGATTTCACTGTTCCCTCAAGAAATCTGCATTCCTTTCAGCTATACAATAGCCAAAGTAATAAAGATTACTTTATTTCAGTGCCAAGTTTACATTTCCGTTAAGGCTGGTGTTTTGTGACTGTTATTGACCCAAGAATGCTAAGCCATGGAGACAAAGTTAACTACATTATTTAAACAGGGAGTTGTTTTCCCCAAGAGGAAGTTTAAAGGAAAGGCACCCAACTACCACATTAGGGAGCGTTCAACGAGTTGTATTTGAATAAAAATGAGGTTAATAGCTGGAGCCTGCACCTAGCAGAATATATTTCGAGTTATTAATATCCCTGGAAAACTGAAAATGCTGGATGTGGCACACAGCTATCAAGGGAAAAGGCTGGCTGCTATATGAGCCAAACCCAGAAAGTACAGCACCTTCAAGTTAAGGAAGTGTGCTGCAGAGAGGAAAAAAACCCTTCCTAAAACGTTGAAAAATTACTTATAAAATCGGGGTCCTCCTTCCCCAATCTACTTTCTCCTCAACTGGCAGGGTTTCCACTTGAGAACCCGCAAAGCTCTCCTTGTTCACTGCCTGATTTTCCTGCTGCAAGGGCAAAATCAGTGGCAATTCCTTTGGCAGCTTCCAACGCTCCCTGGCTGGTCTCCAAACTGAGCTGTCAGCCAGGGAAAAGCCGGACTACCTACAGCCAAGATATCCTTGAATTCCCCCTCGCTTGGCTAGCGGTCGCATTCTGTCGACCCCGTATTCAACTCAAGGCGATGCCATTCCACAGATTCTGTTTACAAGGATTCAGCAGACTGGAATTAGGAGAAGTACCGCGATACATTTACCAAAAGACATCAACGGCTTGCGGCTGTATTCCAGTGTGGATCACTAAAACGGTTTTGGATTTTTTAAACTCTCCATTCTCTGTTTAGAAATTTAAGAATCAAGGCTGTTGCTGTGCGTACCTGCTTGGAAATCAACTAAAATTTGCCTGCTTAGGCATCTAAGCAAGTAATACAGCACGAGAAAATTCTGCATGCTGTCCTAACCTTGATTTATTAAAACAAAAGGGCTATATATCGTAGAATCATTTAGGTTGGAAAAGACCTTCAAGATCGTCAAGTCCAACCATCAACCACACCCACCAAATATTCAGCTAACAAGGAAAAAAAAGCTTCCGAAAAAGCCCCAAAAGCCAGTGAAAAAAACCCCAGTTCTTATGCAACCCTTGCCCTGAATACCAAAGGCAAGAAGAAGCTTTAACAGGGAAGAATTTTAAGCGCAACCTTTCTACATGAAGTTCTGCTTCCCCCGCACGAGTTTTAGCGTTTATTTTCTGGGCAGATCGCCCAGACAAGGAGAAGGACAGGTAACTGAACAGCAAATTCCGGGTCCGTGGGGCTACCAGCGCGTTTTGGTTCAGCTCTGCCTGGCTGCACCCCGACGCTTCCAGCAATTAAAAAGAAACCAAAAGGAGAAGCGGTGCTGGTTCCCCTTCTGCTCCCACAGCGCGGCTAGAGGGAAAGTTCAGTTTCGGGTGGGGAACCCTCGTCCTTCCCCGAGCCCTCGGGCAAGACCAAACGATTCCCCGGTCAAGGACTCGGCTCTACGCGTCCCCCCCCCGCCCCCAGACACCCCGCCCGGCGCAGCGGCCGAGA